CTAAAAAGTAGCCTATAGGTGAAGGTATTTGTTAAGTAAGACATGGGTATAAGTTAAGGCAGTAATGTAGTGAGCCTGCAAGGCCTCTGAGGAAACAGATTACAGTAGCTAAACAAGACATAAGGCCCCAAAAACCTTAGCATAAGCAGCTAACCAGGAGTAACCCTAGATAATAAAATCTCACAAGCTAGAAGGTCGATGTGAATAATATGTAAGAGATACTTGTTTGTACCAGTTTCAGATATTTTATTTTTGGAACATCAGTTGATGTCTGACCCCAAGAGTGCCATGGTAACCAATGAGGTATATGCTAATAAGCTTGAAGCAAATGTACTATAAACCTATGAGAGAAGGGCAAGTAATAAGTAATAAGGGCAAGTAAGTACAAATAAGGAAAAGGAGAGAAACCCTACTACATTAGGCAACGTGGTGCCAACATAACACATTATAAAAAGTGTATTCCAGCCTGTGTATATTGGGGGAAAATAACTCTTGGGAGATGTCAGGATGACAGCCACCAGTGATAATTACTTTGGGTCCTTTTTCTAAGAATACTGGGTTTGATCTTGAGACAAGAACCTACCAAATTTCAGGCTAACTGAAAAATCTTAGTAATCAAAATAGTTAATACACAATAGATCAAGAAACATGTACACAAATCAAAATGCCCAATAACGCAACAGCAATCATTTCCTCTTCCTATGAAACATTTTTTCGTCCAATAAGCATTCAGTATCTTATTACATTGCTGTAGCTTAGCACACCACACTCTTTGATGGTGATGTTGCTATGTGATATATTTTATCTATGTGAGCAATTCAGAGAATTTGTTACATTATTTGGATACTAGCCAATTCTCCTTCAACCCTGACACTACGTTAAGTTTTCTCTGGAAGTGGGATCAAGCTGAAAAGTTCAAATCCATATTTCAACTATCCAAAGTTCAGATGTGACCAAACCCAGGGTTTTGAACTGGGCCATCTTTGGTTTTTGAGGAGTCACTGATGAAAGTTAGTTGGCTTCCAAGAGAGGGACATTTTGATTTTGGCTTTCTTGGTGTATTTGTTGGGGAAACACAAACCCATCTTCATTGCTGTGCACTCACTGTGCCTGGGGAGTCCAGCAGCAAGGATGTAGACGGTCCATGAAAGGAATCCTCACCACATGGAATATGGCAGGTTCCCTGGAATGCTTTCTACTGTCACCATGCTATAAATCTAGCATGGTCACAGGAAACTGAATATGAAGGCAATTTTCAGATTTCATGTCCAACAAGCTGTAGCAAGCCTTCCATGGAGCGTAAGAGCCTAATGCCCTCAGGTGGAAGGATCCAGAAAAGCTTCTTCCACTACACCAGAAGCGGAAGGGCAGACTCTCTTCACAAATAGGAAGTATAAAGAGGTGGGCCCTGTGGCAGCCCAATCACTGGAGAGGATAGATGGTTCCCAGCCGTTCTTGCCTCCTTCCATGGGGGGCATAGAGGGCTGGCCAGAGGCCCCCAATCCTCTGTGGGGGTTGGCTGCAGTGCGGGAACTTAACCATATAGAGGAGATGCCTGGGACCTCGAGCCACCAGATACACGTGAAGCAGAGGGGCTGCTGAGACTACCATTCACTGACTACACTGAAGATGTTGAGAACAACCAGTGTGTGCAGGTACAATCAAGGGGGAATTTAGGAAGGAGCCCAGGGGAATCAGACTGTGGATCTCCCCAAGCCGTGGACAACATCTTGCAGTGGACTCCAAGCCAACCCAGCAACAGATTTCTCTGCCACTGATAGGGCCCTGGTCTGGGGTGCAGTGGAGTCAGGTGGGCCCATGTTCCCCCCACCACCTTGGGATGACAGTACTCCCCCTTGCCAGTTGTTAAGCCTCAGCCTTGTACCCCTTACCCTAAACTGTTGCTTAGTGCCTCAGCCTTGTGCCCTGCACTCAAGACTGTTGCTGAGTACCCAAAACCTAAATGCTGAACCACCCCATTGGCATATCAGAGGACTGGACAATGCCAATGCCCTGCTATTAGGTCATTTGTCTGTGTAGCAAAGGGACATGGCCTTCTGCAGAGAGGCAGAGCACAAAAGAGCCTGCTGCCCATGTCTAGGACGACCCCGGCCTGCTTACACAAACTTACTACAAAAGAGGAGAATCTGGCAAGTAAACCACTGATACAACCCACAAGGTCTCACCTGTAGCACATGTGGTTCTAGATCAGCAGTTCCCACCCTTTTCCAGATGGGGTCCCATTTTGACAATTCAAGAAGACTTGGTGACCCAAGGCAATTCAAAAATGGGGGGAAGAGAAGGGGCAGAGCCACATGGGGAGATACTTGGCAACCCTTTTGAAATGTAATGGCAACCCATATTTGGGTCGCGACCCATAGGTTGGGAAACCCTGTTCTAAATCATGAAGTTCTCATTGCCGTTTGTGAGCCGCCATGCCCCAACCAAGTAAAAAGCGAAAATGCTGTGCCCCTTGAAGCGTGAGCCATAGTTACCAAAGAGGTCATGAGGCCTAGGCCTATGGCACAAATGAGTTGGGGATGCTGTTTATTGTTGTTAGTCTAAACAGAATAAACCCCTTTCATTCCTCATTTTTACTTTCAAATTTCAGAGCAAGAGAAAATCAGGACAAATCTATAGATGGGACTTTCTGAAAGTGGTAAAGGAGAAAAGTCAGGTGTTTTCCCATGGGGGAAGATATAAGTCTTATGGTATGTCACAGTCACATTTGTTACATATAGGTGTGGGCTGTGATTATGCAGCATATAGATTTAGGAAAGTCACACACACACCCTATGAAGTCACTTTTACTTTACTCTATAAGAGTCAATACATGATCTCTTCCAAGTCCATTAGGCAAGCCAGAGAGAGAGGCAGGCAGTGAGTGGAGCAGCAGTTTTGAGAAGAGGCTGGTGCACTGGGGGATGCTGTCACAGTGGAAGGGGAGGCTGTCCCTTGCAAAGGCTACCAAGCTATTGGTCTTTAGAGCAATGTAGGCCCATAATGCACAGTAGGTATGCAAATGTGGGGGGGGGGAGAAAGGGTTCAGTTGCCCCCAGACCCTTTTAATTGCCACCAGAGCCCTGGGCAGTGCTAAAGGCCTGGCTGGGGGAGGCTAGCCTCCAGCCCTGCCCCTTCTGTCTGAGGGCCTTTCCCTTCCCGGGGCCTGGAACTATCCCCTCTCAATTTATCCAGGACCTGCTGATGTCTGTCAACCAGGGGCAGATGACCATTTTGCGGGGCCGCGGGCAGCATAATTCCACGGGCCCCCCCCCCTTTGCCACGGCACATGCGCGGGGCTTTCTGAAGCGCGGGGCCCGGGGCAGCTGCTGTCAACCACCCCTGCCTTGACCCTCAGGAATGTGGGCAGTTTATCAGTACTGAGAAAACCTTATGAGAAAATAGAGTTGGCTTCACTTTTCACCAGCAGCCCGATAAAAAACAAGTGAAAAACCAGAGAACATGTCAGAATCAGAAACTATTAATGGGAGGCTGCTCTCCAATCGTGAAAGTAACTTACAGGTATTGGCCCATTACAACCTGGGTCCCTGTCAGCTCTTTAAATAGCTCCCAACTGGCTTTCACTCCAGCTCACCCAGCTCTTGCTGGAACTGCGTACCAGGGCACCCCAGCTTACTTTCACCTGTGCTGCTCTCAGATCATGGAGGTAAAATGGCAAGAGATCTCAAGTCTCATAAAAAAGAAGCTTTGTCTTGAGTTCTCCCTCTGGCATTCACAAAACAGCTTTTTGTCCAACAGGGCCAGAGTGAGAATGGACAATTTTATTTGCTGCCACAGAAATTGAAAACTTTAAAAGAAGTTATCAAAATTCTCTCCAGAGTAAATAAGAGCAGACATCCTCCCCAGAGATGCTAGCATGTAACTTTGTCAACAGTTTAGGAATCTCCTGTGGATTTGATGGAATGTTGATACAGTTTTAAAACTACAGTTGCTTCTGCAGTGACACAGATTCTCATTTTGATTGTCACTCCAAATATGGAATCTCTCTCTCCTGAGGCCTTGTCTATACACACAAAAACCTACTCCATTTCCCCCCAACTTCCCCCAAGACTTTGCAGACCAGAACGTGAACACATATAGGCTGTGTCTACGCTGGGCCACTTATTCCGGAAAATCAGCCGCTTTTCCGGAATAAGCTGCGAGCTGTCTACAATGGCCCTTGAATTTCCGGAAAAGCAACGACTATTCCGGAAAAACTATTCTGTTCCCGCTCAGGCATAAGTCCTTATTCTGGAACACTGTTCCGGAAAAGGGCCAGTGTAGACAGCCCAGTAGTCTTTTCCGGAAAAAAGCCCTGATCGCGAAAATGGCGATCGGGGCTCTTTTCCGGAAAAGCGCATCTACATTGGCCACAGACGCTTTTCTGGAAAAAGGGCTTTTCTGGAAAAGCAGCCTGCCAATGTAGACGCTCCTTTTCCGGAAAAACTGAAAATAGAATAGTATTCCATTTTAAGCAGTTCCGGAAATTCATGCCAGTGTAGACACAGCCATAATGTTCTACATGCTGACCACAATTTTCACCCCACATCAGATTTTTTCTGAAATGATGCTCTGTTGCTATTTCTGTACAAGAACGACAAGGAAATACAGAGTATCTTACATCCTAACTAAGGGTTGCACCAACTATTTGGGTAGAAAATTCCACTTCCTAACAGAAATAGTTAAACTGATATAAAGATGTGTGTAGACAGTTTAAAGGCAGCTAAAGTTAGTAGTAAATCAAATTTGAAATCCTTTATTTGCACTCTTTCGCATATATGACTTTGTACTTGCCACAATCATATTCTAAGGGCTTAATTGGGTCTTAATTGTACATTGGTCTTGATTTAACCTTCTCCACAGGGAAGAATTTCATGTGAAGTGAATAGGTTGTTGGAACTCAACAGCGAAATTGTACTGTAAATAAGCAAGGATCCAAAAACACATTGTTTTCTCTGAGACAGTAACACATTTGTGGAACTTGTGTTATGTTAGCAAAACTGATTTATTTTTAAGCATGATTTTGCAAATTAAAATGAAAGACAAGCTATTTGGATGTCACTGCAGTACTTTAAACATTTGTGTCTCAACCAGATAAAGCACAAAACAGTAGCTTGAAGGAATTACAGTAAACACTTCCCAACAGCAGACCAAGGTATGTAAAAGTTCTTACAGAAATAATAATTACAGATTGAATGACATGATAGTAAACTGAACAGTTCAAAGCCCAGGAGAAAGAAGGTTGATTGAAAAAAAAACTAATAAAAATTGCATTGTACAGGCTTGAATATATACACTTAGGCCCCAGTCCTGCAAAGTCTTATACATGTATTTAAATTTCTTCTTCAGCTGGAATACTTGCATGCATAAAGTTAAAGTATATGTGTAAGTCTTTGGTAAAATACAGTGTCCAGTTAAGGCAATGGCAGCCTTTCACAGATTTCAATGAGCTTTGGACTAGTTACTCATTGAACAACTTTTCATTAAGAATCTAGAGAAGCTAGGAATAATACCTTTTATTAAAGTATATTTCCTTGTTACATGTGTGAACGTTGAAATATCCCTTTAAAAACAACTGCATATATAAAAACTATATCACTGACCTTTAAAAAAATGGTAGGTGGACTACCTAGCTTATTGTCAACATAATTTAATCGTTTGCCATTAAAGATAATACCCAGAGTAATCATTATTTAAACCTAGGCTACATTCCCACCCACCCTCGCAACCCCCTCAGACCTGGGAGACACTAAATGGAACAGCATTTTTACCTGGGCCAAAAAGTAATACAATTAAAGTGTTTTGGCTTCTTTTACTTGTGTTATACAGTTTTGAGGCTTACTTTTGCATGATGTAGCTGCTGTTGCTACTAATCAGTACATACGCATATCTGACTAAATCAATTCCAGGTATAAATCCACTGAAATCATTGGAGTTACTTTAGGGATGAATTTGATGCAATAATTGTAATTTATATAAACATTATTAAGAGGTGCTAATTTCTGCTTTATACAAAATAAAACTTTGCAATTTGCTTGAATATTTGAATAGCTAATGTATTTATGGGAGCTCTCAAACTAAGGTCACCATTAGAACTGAGGGAATTATTAATAATTTACTCTGTTAATTAGGCCTCTTTTTTAATTAGTGCAATGATTGTGGGCAGATAACTCTTTTTGCTTATTTATTTGTTAGTTTAATTTACTTAATCTTTTTACTGCATGGACCAACTGTGAAACGCTTAACAGAAGAGAACTGCATGCAACAGGGGAAAATGGGGCCTGCTGTCCTGGTGTGAAGGTCCCACACCGTATAGCACACTTTGACTATGGGTGGCTGAGGAAGAGGCAGCTGGCTGAAGAGGACATACTGTTTGTGGAGATCAGCTGAAGAATTTAGTCCCAGAGTCACATGGGCTGCTGTGGGAGGGCAGGGGAGGATACACAGTCACCTGTGTGTAACAAAAAATAAAAAAGTTTGAGCTGGAAGAAGAGAAAAGTATAGAAAACAGAGGGAGAGAACAAAAAAATGGAAAAGGTGGAAAGAAAGTGTGAAATAGAGATAAGTGCTTAGAAATAGAGAGAGTTGGCTTAGTGCCAACAGCAAGCTCTAATGGATCAATGGTAGTGCTAGGCACCATAGAGTAGACAGGCAACTGTGTATCTTTGGAAACATGGTTGCCATGTTGAATCAAGCTGCAAACTCTGAGCAGGCTGCACTTGGTGCTTTGACCTCAAGCAAGTTTGTTTTGTTTAATTATTTCCGACCTTCACTTTCCCATGCTGTGCTGTATTTCTGTTGGAAAAGGGCAGTTGCTGAGAGGGGGGCACACTGGGCCTCCCTGTTTGGAGTGTCTTTGGCTTGATCATAAAACTACAGAAGCTAGAGAAGAGCTACTAGCCCACTCAGACCAACTCCTGCAAAGGCAACACCGCTCCCTACAGCTTGTTCTAGTTCAAGCAGGCTAGGTGAGGCATCACCCCAGCTCAATACAGCCAGGGGCTCTCCAGCCTCCAACACACACAACACGTGATTGCTGATCTTAAATGAGCATTGTTTTATATATTTCCAAAGACTTTCAGTATTTATTCCTTGATTGATGAGCCACTCTCCTTGCTCATAAGACGACTCCGGATGATTGCGCTGCTGTGTCTCGATAACTGATCCTGAAATTCGGATGTTGTAAAGAAGTACAGGATAGGATCCAAACAACAGTCTAGGCTTGCTAGGCTTAAGCAAAATGGCTGAGTGTACAGAGTGCTTCGGCGTATGGCACAGTGTGTAATAACATTCTCTTTCACCATCATGTAGAAGAAGAAGTTGATGTGGTACGGTGTGAAACATACAAAGAACACTGCTGCACACATAGCAACCATGCGTAAAGCTCTCTGTTTTTCACTGGTATTTTCCAAAGGTGTTTGGTATTTCTGAAGTGACTGTCTTGTTCTCCAGGTACAGTATACAATAATGATTAGAGGGCCCACAAATCCTAAAAGCTCAGCTATAATCACCATCATCACAGAAGCGGCGCTACTGTTTATTTTCTTGACTTCAAGATCCGCAAAGCAGGAATTTGAACTGTTGGTTAAGCCAGAGTTTCTCATAATTGGAAATGGTGAGCAAGCAACCCCAACAAAGATCCATACAGCAGTACTAATGGCAACATCATACCTGCGCTTCCAGTCTTTGGCTTTGAATGGATGGAGAAGGAAGTAGTACCTTTGAATGCTGATGCAGGTGAGGAAACAAATGCTTGCATACATGTTGAGATACTTCAGGTAGAAACATAATAAGCAGAGGAAACTCCCAAAAGGCCACACATGGTTTATATAATAATATATTCGTAGTGGTAATGAGAGCACATGAGCAAGATCTGCCGCAGCCAAGTTAATCATAAAAATGACAGCTTTGTTTTTCTTGCTGATGAAGCGACATAAAACCCATAATGCAGCACTGTTTGCCAGAAGACCAGGTATGAATATTACCGTGTAAGTAGCGGCATATAGAGAGTTTTTAAATGTTATATTAGGATCAACACAGTTTTCTGAAGATCCATTGGTCTGCATCTTGACTGTGCTTGAGCAATCATTTGGGACTGGATGGAAGATTTCTGTAACGAGTAAAAAATAATCATAACATCTAGCTCTTATATAACATTTTGTCTCAATAGATCATGATCCCCAATTTGCACATTGGGAAAGTGGGGTTCATGGAGGTGAAAGTGACTTGCCTATGATCTCCGAGCCAGTCAGTGGCAAAGTCTCCTGAGACTCAGGCAGGTGTTCTGGATGTGCTGCTTCCCAAAACAATTGCTGTAAAAACAAAGATAATGCACATTAACCAGTATTAATATATGTATCACAAGTAACCTACCTGATTACAGTAATACATTTATTATAGCTTAGAGAAGAGGCTAGGCAAATCGTTTGGCTTGAGGGCCACATCAGGGAATGAAAATTGTGTGGAGGGCCATGAATGCTCATGATATTGGTGTTGGGTGTAGGAGGGGGTGAGGGCTTCAGGTGGAGGTATGAGCTCTAGGGTGAGGCAAGAAATTAGAACTTCAGAGTGCAGGAGGGGCTCTTGATTGGGGCACAGGCTTGGAGTGTGGGGAGAGAGGACGAGGTAAGGGCTCTGGCTGGGGGTTCAGGCTCTGAGGCAGGGCTGGTAATGAGTGGTTGGGATGCAGGAGGGTGCTCTGGGCTGAGACTGAGGGGTTCAGAGAGGAGGGGCAGGGAGTTGGGGTATGGAGAGAAGAGAACTCAGGCTCCAAGCTGCACTTACCTCCTCAAGCAGTTTCCAGAAGCAGCGACATGTTCCAGACAGCTCCTATGCAGAGGCCTGGCCAGGTGGCTCTGTGTACTGCCCCCTGCTCCCCTCCCATCCACAAGTGCCGCCCATTGTCCACAGTTCCCAGCCAATGGGAGCTGTAGGGGTGGTGATTAGGCTGGGGGCAGTGTATGGAGCCTTATAGGTGCACCTAGGTTTACGAGATGGAGGAAGGAACATGCAACTGCTTTGGGAGCCAGGGAAGCAAGGCAAACTCCAAACCCCACTCAGGGCTGGATTAAAATGGCTGTTGAACCAGATGCAGCTCACAGCTGTAGTTTGCCCACTCCTAGCCTAGAGCATGTCCTCTGTAAAATCTCCTTCTTGCTCCTCAATGCTTTTTCATAAGCAATGAGATATTGTGGGTAGGGGTTATGAAACCCCAAATACAATTTCCCTCTGTCTCAGGTATTTATCTGGTCCCCATCACAGTAGTAATGTATAAGGATTATACAGTCAGTAATGTAATTATTTTTACAATGCCTCGTAAGCTACAGCAGTGCTATTACCCAGGTGGGGAAGTGAGGCACAGCAATACTAAGTAGTTTAGCCAGGTGAAACGTTGCACCCCATATTCTTCATGGAAATCTGCCTATAAATATGAATGTGACATAACTGGGACATAACAGAGGGTATGTCTACACTACAATGTTAATTCGAACTAACTTAGTTCGGATTAGTTAATTCGAACTAAGCTAATTCGAACTAACGGATCCAGACTAAAAAACTAGTTCGAATTAGCATTTTGCTAATTTGAACTAGCATGTCCACATTAAATGGACCCTGAACCAGGCTTAAGGATGGCCGGAAGCAGTGCCGGCAGGGCATCAGAGGAGGACTTAGAGCGTGGAGATGCTGTCTCAGGTTAGCCGAGGGCTGTGCTTAAAGGGTCCCGACCCCCACCCCGGACAGACAGTTCTCAGGGGTGCCCCGCTTGCAAAGCAGTCCTGGCTTGGAGTGCCCGGAGTACCCACACTGGGCACATCACAGCACTCGGCCATCAGACCGGCTGCACTTGCTGCAGGCTGCCATCTGGGGTGAGGGAGCAATTGGGCTGCAGGAGAGCTTCCACCCCCAGAAGCCCGCAGAGCCAGCCCAGTCCTCCCCATCGGGGGCTCGTGCCCATTCCTTCCTCACATCCTTCCCGCCCTAGCCCCTCTTCTTGATGTACAAAATAAAGATAACGTGTCTTCCAAAATGGAATCTGTCTTTATTGAACAAAGCTGGGGGAGACTGGGAAAAGGAGGTGGGAGAGGGGAAGAGAAAGGCTGGGAGAGGGGAGGGCAACTAAAATGATCAGAGGTTGGGAACAGGTCCCATATGAAGAGAGGCTAAAGAGACTGGGACTTTTCAGCTTAGAAAAGAGGAGACGGAGGGGGGACAGGATAGAGGTCTCTAAAAGCAGGAGTTGGGTGCAGAGGGTGCATCAAGAAAAGTTCTTCATTAGTTCCCATAAAGAAGGACTAGAGGACACCAAAGGAAAGGAATGGGTAGCAGGCTTCAAACTAGTAACAGAAAGTTGTTCTTCACAAAGCAAAGAGTCAACCTGTGGAACTCCTTGCTGCAGGAGGCTGTGAAGGCTACAACTAGAACAGAGTTTAAAGGGAAGTGAGATCAAGTCATGGAGGTTGGGTCCATGGAGTCCTATTAGCCAGAGGGTAGGAGTGGTGTCCCTGCCCAAAGTGTGTGGAAGGCTGGAGAGGGATGACACGAGACAAATGGCTTTGTCCCTGGCTTTGGGCCCTCCCCCCCCGGGGCCC